GAGAGAGAGAGAGAGAGAGAGAGAGAGAGAGAGAGAGAGAGAGAGAGAGAGAGAGAGAGAGAGAGAGAGAGAGAGAGAATGGAGGGAGGGGCGGGCACCGGGCGGTGCACAACTACTTGAAATCTGAAGGCTGTTGGGACGGTCTACAGGGCACTGTGACAAGCACCCGCGCATGGGTTAACTTCTTCTGAAGCTAGCTCCGAGGAGTGCGGGGCAGAAGGGCGTTTTTCCATATGTACGTGGGTGCATTGTATCAGCCCCACACACTTTCAAATGAGTGTGTGCCTCAGGATGCCAAGTGTTCTTCCAAGGCACTTGAACTGAAGACTAGGGAAGAGGCTGGCTCGATGACTGACCGAAATGCATTGAGTCACAGAAGACAACACATTCATCATAACGTCCCTGAGCACAAAGGAGAGATACGATGTCCAGATGCGGAGGTTGCACACACTCTGGAAAGGAGGGGCAGCCTTGTGCGCACACGGATGCAGAAACCCTGGTATTGCAGTGATTTTGGCAGAGACATGACACCTGCAAGAAAGTGTAGCAGTGTCTGTAGCTGTGCAGAGGAGAAGGTCACAGAGCGTTCACATTGTCCTGCGGCTCCCGCCGCAGCGCAGGGGGAGAAAACGATCCTCGACATAAATCATCGTTGCAATGGAACATGTTCATGGAAGGATTGGCCAGAGTTCTCTCATCTCAGGAATCGCTAGTGGAATTTTCGGGGGATAATTGGTAGATAGCGCCCACGGGAAAACCTTCCGGGTTAGGCATGCCCAAAGTTTTCCCGTTCAGTACTACCGGCCCAAACTTCTTCCGATTGGGTGCAACACGCCTTCGTGCCGTGGCCACAGCTCCCTTGTCCTTTTTTTACCGGACGACGAATCTGGCACTGCTTTTGCACCAGATTCGTGAACCGGTAGGGCCATTATACCGTCCTTGGGCCTCGTTCTATTGGTTCGCGGTACCGCCCTCGGCCTCTTCTACGTCGCTATGAATCTGGCACTGTTTACACACCAGATTCATGATCCCGTTGGGCCCGTTGGAGCCATGCAGGGGCCGGTAGTACCCACATGGAAAATTTTGGGCGTGCAGTACCGAACGGAAAAACATTGGGCGTGCCTAACCCGAAAGGTTTTCCCGTGGGCGCTATCTGCCAATTATCCCGATTTTCGGTATTGCTCCACCTTGGTCGGCTTTCTCAAAGCGAGCAATTCAGACCTGGCACATCAAAGAGACGGCCAACAGCAAACAGAGCTGGCAACAGGCAAACGTTCGCACCATCCAGACGGCAAACACCCCCGCGAATCTGCAAATCACGACTGATGGGTGTCACGAATGTAAGGAACAGCACCGAATGTACAAGCCTACAAGGCAATGAATTTTTTACAGTCAGTTATGTTGTTGCATAACACTCCATCCTCGGTGCGTTCCTGTGTGCTAGTGAACACGTCCTTCGATTGATTATTAGTTACAAGGCATTGGAAACTCAGAAATGAGTCAGCAAAACAGCAGAGCAGAGGAAGTGTGGGGTATTCCCCCATCCGCCTTCCACAGGAAGAATAACTGAAAAAAGTTCATCTTCAACATTTCAACGCTTATTTCAGAGGTGATATTACCAAACCTTCTCATCATCTTCTTTTCATACGACAATATGACATCATTATTGGCACCCCTTCCATCACAGGAAACTACATTCTTCATTCATGACCTATGACACACATTGCAAATCACAAATGCCGGCACGCAACACCTCCCTCACTGCAGACTACGTTCCTGACCTACAACACACACTGCAAATCACAAGTGCCGGCATGCAACACGAGACATCTACTAACAGTCAGCTTTCACCACTGACTGAGCTAATGACAGACTTGGTGCACTCTGTCACTCCCTACTCCGTGACGGAGGCACTACATGGAGATCCCTTCAGTCGGTCGTCTACAAGCTCCTATCGCCTATATCTGCTGTATGCATAGCGAAGAGCGTCTTACGGTTCTGTTCCTACTCGTCGCATGTATTATGTATATTTGTCTATAATAATAAGTTAATACTGACCCTTTGTATCAATACATATATGTATATGGCTATGAAATTAGTATAGATTTCACAAATACATATATATTATATAACAAGCACACACACACTGTCCTTTCATGGTTTCATATCGTGCGATCTAGAAATCACTCCAGCAGCCCTTCTCCTCAACGTGACAATTTGCAATATACCTGCCCTCCGTGCACATTTCTCTGTCTTTCGCCCTCGTCGCGGCCCTCCATTTGCACCAGCATCGTTGCGGTTCGGAAATAACCCACCACCTTCAAGATCCCTGCCCAGGCTGCTTCTGCAGTAACTGCTGGTGCTGGTATCACTGTTGTACTCACACAGTTCGAATTCCCCAATCCGACTGCAGCGAAGATAGTGAGGGCCATCGCTGCTGCTGTCTTTACGCTTGTCGAAGTGACCTGGCACTGTTTCTCTTACGTCCTGCTTTTTCACTTTGCTGTGCCCCTCTTCCTCCTCCATATCCAGACTGAACCGAGCTCCGTGCGGAAGAGTCAAAGCGCCACCAACCAGTTTGCCTTCATCCACAACACCAGTCGCATCACAATTTCCGCCCCTCATTTGAGCATCAATCTCATGAAGTCCACCTTCTCGCACGCCGCCGCCATTTCTTCCGTCGATGGTATCGCCACCGCTGAGCCACTGCGTGATGTCACCTCTAATGTCATCACTATCAGGAAAACTCCCACAACAGTAATCGTCCATCTGGTTGTCACCATCATCACTTCCACTCCATTCTCTACGAACAAGACCTGGCAAAGAATCAGATCCTGGAGCAGAAGCAGGTTCTCCCCACCTGTCCTGCACCAGTGTTTCCCCTCCTTTACTGTTTGCAAAGGCAAACACTCTGTTATCGATGATTGAAACCCATTCCCTGTCCATCGCAATACTGCTCGTGCTGTCCCACAACGTTGGCCCAGCTCTCATCGTACTAGCAGTCAGGCCCGAGCTGCCCAACCTTGCAGGATTTCTGGTGGCATCTCGGGAAACCCCTTCTGCTTTCTGAACCTCCATTTGCGAAACCTGAAGCCAGTTGGGAAGATCGGTGCACTTCTTGTGCTGCTCACGGTTAAAGGAGGGTGTGGTTGCTGGGGAACTCTCTGCATCAGCATCCTCCCCATCGGCGTCCTCGCCACTGCCTGCCGAATGGAACTGCTCCATTTCATCGCTGCCCTCGAGGCCATTAGCAGCACAGTTCTCCCGGCTGTCGATTCCATCATCACCGATATTTACGAGAGGCACTTCACTTTCGTGCTCGTCCCGGGCACAACCAGTATGGCACACCTCATCTCCTGCATTGCAACTCCATGATGATTCAAACCCATACTCCCCATCCAGATGGCGTCCTGTTGTTCTCTCCTGCTTGCGCTCATTGTCGTCTTCTTGATGCCTGGTCTTCTCACCTTGCCAGCGATCGTGGCGACCATGGGCAATGGATACTTTGGCCCACTTGCTTGGAGCGGGCCCACGAGGGCTGAGCATAAGCCATCCTGGAGCATTAGCATTGTTCACATCTTGAGTGCCTCCACTATCTCCATCATCTCCGCCACCATCTCTTATGTCGATTCTCCTCTTCAAGTTTCCACGCAAGGAAGAAACTCCATTGTTATCGTCTTTGCTAAAGTGACAAGCACAGCAACAATAGCTCCTTTGCTCAACAGCTCGTCGAGTCGGATGGACTCCAGCACCAGAGGAAGGAGGTCGGCATTCGCCCTCGTGCGTTTCACCTCCTCTGCTCCACGCTGGTTCAGAAGTGGCATGAGAACGGGCTGGATGGAACCGAGGGGAAGAGGATGGCGAAGGTGGGGGGACCCCAGTGCTGGCGAATCCTTGATTGTGTCCCACTGGGGAGATCGTGGCGGAGGTAGTAGGCCGGAGGTCGGACTGAAGCGGGGCGACGACATGCGGAGGAAATCTGCTGTAATTGTCATGACATCCTATCACAACGGATGGAGCAGGACCATGCCTCTTGGTCTCGTCGTCTATCCTTGACCGGCCCTCTACTAGCGATACCCTTTTGGGAGAAGAGGAAGACGGGTCGAAGCCTGCTGCTAGGGCCATAACCCATCGACGGGTCGCATCGACCTCCCCCCTTAACAAGATAACATCCTTGATCAACCCCTCAACCTGCATTTATTCAATCCGATTACGCCAAGCACATAGATCCCTCCCACAATCCCAGGCACATACAAGCCCCTCCAGCTCGAAAATTGACGCTTCCGACCCCGGCCGTCATTAGCACGACTCCCGGACAGAGTCCCCTAGTAGAGCAACCCCTCATTGAAGCGTAGAGGACAGAAGAGAGGACACGAATAGCAGACGCATACACATACATGTGCGTAACACACAACCACATGCCGCATTCACCAAATCCAGCGCAACAGTGCATGTACACATTACAAAAAAAGAATTACCAAATCCAAAGCAACAGTCCATGTATATATTACAAGAAAATAAATATATAATATACACGTACAACCATTCAATTCATAACCAGAACATCAGGAGGCATAACACACGCGTGAACTGGCAACGGGAGAACAAGTGCAGCAAGGATGCCCAGACGGTAGGCCAGACGAGACACACTTCAGTGCACTCTCACACAGATGATAGTCCCTCTCTCTCTCTCTCATTTGCACACACAAGCACACGTACCAGACAGACAGAAGGGAGTGCACTGACAATGTAGGTCATCAAAGACTCAATGGCATGCCACACCCAAGGCACTCATGGGCAGTGAAACACACAGACAGAAGTCACAGGCAGGCAGCCAAATAGACAACCAGAGACAGACAGAAAATAGGCATACACATACATGCCAAACAGACAAAGACAGACAGACAGAAAAGACGCATATCACAGCCAAATTCATTTGTAATTCTAGCTTGGGTGGTGGCAATAGATTTAAAGCATATACATGGTGTCAATAGTACTACATACATACATACATTTACTGCCTTTGATAATCACCATCCGATATCAACATCACTGCCATGATGTCATCAGACTCATCATCACCAAACCACGACTACAATGGCAATTTACAATTCTCATTGTCACCGTGGCAAAAGCTCAATTTAGTATCCCAATATGAGCAACATCGTGCTGACCAGATTACCTTTCAAACTTCAAACAAGACCACTAAATATTTCGTCTGTCATCAACTATTCACATACACAACTTTTCCTTTTTATGTTGCACCATCACTTGTCTTTTCCCATCTTCTTGCACTGTCCACTATCATCATCATCAGAATGACTACGGACATTGTCACTATTATTACGAGCATCATCATAATAGCATCACCAACATCATCCGCTCATCCATCCATCCCTGTAACCTACCACCACCACCACCACCACCATCCTCATCATTTTCATCACACGGTATTCACAGTATGTTGAATAATCCCTTCACCATCGCCCTTAAGATGATGATCATCATCACCATGACTGCCAACCCCATCACCGTCATCATCCACTGACCTTTGCAGTCACCACCTGACATAATAAGGGGGGGGGGGGGGGGGGGGGGGGGGGGGGGGGGGGAGGGGGGGGGGGGGGGGGGGGGGGGAAGAGGGTTTTGGGAAAGGAGGGGGGGGGGGAGGGGGGGGGGGGGGGGGGGGGGGGGGGGGGGGGGGAGAGAGAGAGAGAGAGAGAGAGAGAGAGAGAGGACATTGGTTTCTGTCAAAGCAGGAGACGGCCAATGAGCCGGGGGAGGTCGGGAGCGAGATAGGTCGGGTGCAAACAAAGGCGGACAGTTTTCTGTCCGTGATTATATTGCTATCTGCACTGGAACTCTGTGACTATGAGCGTGCAGACCTGTGCTGATTTCATCTAGCTGTAGTTGGCTCCTCTCAGCTGTGTGCTTGGTCAACTCTCACATACCGTCTCTGACACATATGGGTTCCTGTCCATGATGGTTTTCTAGTGACTTGAAACGCATAACTCTGTATTGTACTGCATGCATCCTGCTTCATGTTCTTTTCTTCGTTTCGCGGAACTTTCACCGTCTGTGGGCGACTTCCTACCATGCATAGCTGTACCTGCTCCGCCCCGAGCAAAGCCATGGTGTGTACCGCTTGTATAATGAACGTCAAAACTTCAAGAAAGGAAAAAAGTTCAAAAAACAATTTTTATGTTTTATGAGTTTCCGCGAAGGTAAAAAAAAAAAAAAAAAAGGGACAACAGGGCCACCAGCAGATTCCCCACCCTTGAGAGCCCCCGATAGTTGTGCACTGGCCTACTCTCAAATAATCATCTGGTGGAGGTGGGAGGTCAAATGGGGTATATTCGACGCCACAGGTCCAGGTCAAATGGGGTATATTCGACGCCACAGGTCCCTTCTCGAGTCACATGCCTGGAGAAAAAATCCATCTTTCTTTCATGTCTTTGTTAAACCCAAAGATTTCTTTCATGTCTTTGTTTGACCCAAGCAACAATGTCATTCGTGCATGGGTCTTTCATAGACACCCTACTGGCCAATGACAAAATAATATTGGTAAGATTCGTAACGTCAAAATTACATCTTTCGTTTATGTCTTTGTTAAAACCCAAAGATTTCTTTCATGTCTTTGTTTAACCCAAGCAACAATGTCATTCGTGCATGGGTCTTTTGTAGACACCCTACTGGCCAATGACAAAATAATATTTGTAAGATTCGTAACGTCAAAATTACATCTTTCTTTTATGTCTTTGTTGAACCCAAAGATTTGTTTCATGTCTTTGTTTAACCCAAGGACTGCAACTTGAAAGGGTTTCACCCAGTTCGCAGGACAATTGCAGATCCCAGGGCTCGATCCCTAGACCTACCCCGTACCCCGTGTACAGTTGCCCGTCAGTGATGTGGCAACCTAGGCCGCGGCCGCAGGATCCGAGTCCGCGGCCAGGATCCTAGGCCGCAGGCCCGCGGCCGAGTCCGCGCGCGGCCGCGCCACGTGCAGGCGGGCGCGCGCCCTCAAAATCCGTGCGCGCCGTTGGCCTGCGCACGTCGGCCGCTGCAGGCCTATGCACAAAAAAAAAAAAAAATCGAAAATTTGGGGGGGGGCTGATTTTTTAAATGTTAAAAAAAAATTAAAAAAATAGAAAAAAAAATGTGATTGATTG